TCGCCCTCCTCGCCGAGCAACGCACGGAAGGCGAGCGAGCGAGGCTGCTGGCCGCGCACCACTCCGCCGCCTCGCCCGTGGTCCTCGCCTGAGGCCCGCCGAGACCCGCCGAGATGAGCCGAGATTGGCCGATATGAGCCGAGATTGGCCGAGATGAGCCGAGATTGCCCCCGCCGCACTCCCGCCTCTGGCGGCCCTGTTCCCACCTCCCACCAGCCGGCCGTAGCAGTAATCTCCGGCAATTTCAGGGCATCTCGGGTATTCTCGCCTCCCACCAGCTGGCCGTAGCAGCAAGGCACGACGCAGGCGCGCGCGCGCCGCTGAGTCGCGAGGGCGAGGCACGCCTGTCGTGGACTCGTTAGCCATGTTTGTTCGACCATGAGGGAGGCGTGAGGGCGGGGGCGAGGCGCGCCTGCGATTCACCAGTAGATTGTGTCACCCTCAATCCGTGGGTGAGGCGCCCCCGCGAGGGCGAGCCACGCGTCGGTGAGCAGGCCGCAGAGGTGGAGGCCTGTTTATCAACCACTCATCAGGGCGACTGCTTGCTTGAGAATGCCGCGGAGCGGGCCGCGGAGGGGGAGAACCGATCGCGACGTCGAAGCAGGCCGCCGAAGAGGCGTACTCGTCGATGCTGCCTATTGTTCAGTCCTCCGTTGCTGATTCACTAACTAAGCCGAAGAGGCGTACTCGTCGATGCTGCCGGTGAAGACGGCCGCATTCGCAAGGCCGGAGGAGGCGACCCGCCCCGCCGCGATGTTGCTCGTGTACGGCTTCACCTCGACGAGCGTGAAGAGGCAGTCTGGCCGCAGCGACGCGAGGAGGAGGGAGAGGTGGCCGCAGCCGGCGCCAAACTCTACGACGCGCGAGCCTGGCTCGAGGAGAGGAAGCACGTGCGACGCGACGCTTCGGAGCTGCTGCCGCTTGCGGAGCGTGCGGTCGGCGCCTAGCAGCCAAGCCGTCTAGTCGCTGGACGTCCGTCGACTGCTCGTTTGTTCGTGCGGTGGCGCCTAGCTTCCCGGCAGCTGGATCGAGCTCTCCGGCAAAGAGCTGCTCGTCGCTCATGCCCGCGATTTGACTCTGCTGCGGAGCTGCGCTCCGCTGTGGGCCAGTGCTCGACTGCGGGTCTGCGGTGGACGTACCGTTGCTCTCGGCGCAGTGTGCGCTGTGCTGCGGGTCTGGTGGCGGCGGCGGCGGTGGGCGGCGGCAGAGGTCTCCGAGGAGGTGCTCGACGCGAGTGTGGACTAGCTGGACAGCTTCCGAGCGCTTGTGCGACTTTCTCTTGTGGTACGTCGTGGTGGTCGGGCGAGGCGTGACGGTGGGGCAGCCAGCGCGCGAGTTCTTTACCAAGTTGCAACCCTTGCTTGTTCCGCACTCGGCTGTGAACGCTGCTGTTTGCCGCCGGTTGAGCAGCACCCCGTCCCCATCCAGGTTGTTGGTTGCTGCCCCAGGTCCCGCACTATGTAGGTGCACTGCTTCAGCAGCGTGCACCTACCTCGATCGACGATCCTGGTCGCTGGTGTCGGTTGCGCAACCTTTTTGCCGACCTCCGAGCCCAGATAGCGCGCCGTGTCTGATCCTCGTCGGCATCTGCTTCCGGGCCTGGCGGCCCGCCACAAGGACTTAGGTGAGAAGTGCCCGCCGAAACATCGGAACGACGCTGCTCCGCTCGACTTGGTTGGTTGCTGGCAGCACCCCAGCACCGGGGGGTCCTGAGAGCTGTTGGTTGGTGCTCTGTTCACAGCACAGTGCGGAACAAGGGTTGCAACCTGGTAAAGAACTCGCTCGCAGTGTCCCCGCGATCCTTTCTTTTCTAACGCCCCGGGCCCCAACGCAGCGTCCTGGCGTCTTGAAACAGTTCCGCTCGTCTCCAATCCGCCCATCGAAGCTGGATGGAGAGAGAGAGAGAACCGCGTCGAACTCAACGGCGCGGGCTCTCTCGGCTATGGGACCAGCCCCAGCTTCGGCTGAGGGCTGACAAGCTGCCGAGCCCAAATCACCGTGGGTGTCGTGATTTCTCCCTCGGAGACAGCGCCGTCAACAACCGCGAAGCCGCGCGCTTCGTCTCCGCCTCAAGCCTTCCCCTCAACGCCTTTCGCCGGCAAAGCCCTCGATGTCCGTGTCGACGGCACGTACGCCACCGCCCTCTCCTCCGACACCCTCCAGGACGAGCTCCAGCGGAAGCTCGGCCTTTGGCTCTCCGCGGCGCTTCCCACCCTTCGGGTCGCGCTCGAGCGGGGCATGCCAGTCGATTTCTTCGGCGACTACCTTTACAACAAGGCCCACCACCGGCGGCCCCACGACGGCGTCCTCGCCGCCTGGGCGGACGCGATGCGCGCCCCGGCCAACGCGCCAAGGAGAAACCAGAGCTCACCCGGCAGTACAACGAGGGGTACAAGGTCGACCTCGCAGAACCCCATGCGGGACCGGGGGGGGGTGCGATGAAGTGAATGAAATCAATCTCTGGACGCCCCTCCTCAAGACCTCCTCGCCGGGCGTTGGCAACGCCTCGAGTGGCGGCACGCCCGCCTCCGTTGGCCACTCCTACGCCTTCGGCAACACCGAAGAGAAGGCCCGCCGCCTAAACATGGGCTGCAAGGCGCGCGGGCAGCCCGGCCAACCCTTCGACCACAAGACCGGCCACGGCTACGTCAAGGCGCATCGCGGTTTCTACCACGACGCGATCTTTGTCAAGCGCAACAACTTCAACCTGCTGCTCCACGAGACGTTCGGCGGCGGCTTCTCGCCCACCGCCGTTCTCAAGCTGCGCCGCCTCGCGCGCAAAGTCGCGCGCGGCAGCGTCGACCGCACGGCCTACTCGCCCAAGTACTCGCTCTCTTTTATGTCCCACCATGCAGAGCGCATCTCTCTCTCCAGGCCCCAAATGACGTGTGAGTGTTAGAGTTGTTTGGTATTGTCTCCGCCGATCGACGCGCGTCCCAAAAGTCGCCAAAAGTGGCGGCGTGTCGCAGATCCGCCCGCCGTCCCGGCGGTCCCGCAGCTCGCGCACATCTCCCTCTTAACCCACCTGTAACATCACATAAAGGTATTGCTAAAAATCTCTCTCTCTCTCGAAGCTTCGATTGAATTCTTTTCGTAACATTTGTCGTGCGAGGTTGCAAAATTCTGATGGTAAAATTCTTTTTGTTCCCAAAACAAATCAAACGGGGATTCAACTCGTATCTATCTGATAGTCTGATCATCTCCCCCCACCCCCCCCCTCTCTCCACTCTCTCTCTCTCTCTCTCTCTCTCTCTCTCTCTCTCTCTCTCTCTCTCTCTCTGTCTCTCTCTCTCTCTCTCTCTCTCTCTCTCTCTCTCTCTCTCTCTCTCTCTCTCTCTCTCTCTCGCGGCGCACTCCGTGCAGCCACCGCAGCCTCCCCAGCCACATCGCACCGCCCAAGGCTGCGGTTTGGTAGCACAGAAGCGCGCGCACTCGCCCGAAGTTGGTGTCAGCACCCGAAGAGCAGTGCACTCGATGCAGTCACCACAGCCGCCCCAGCCACATCGCTCCGTCCAAGGATTTGTCTTCAGTGGACAGAACTTGTTGCACGCGCCGAGCTCAAGCACAGGCTGCATCAGCAGCCACGACAGCATGACGACCGTGGAGGCCGAGGCTAGCCCTGCAACTGAAGGATGGTGTCTGGGGTACTTTGAGGCGCACGATCGGTCGTCCGCCCCCCCCCCCAAGCGCTCGAGAGTTTGCCGAAAGACTCATGAATTTTTGGGGGTCCGCATCATCTTTCGGGATGTTATATAGGCTGTTGAATCGAAACTCATTGCCAATCTTTACATTACATACGGACTGCGACCATTCTGTGATCTTGCCTGATCCGTGCGTACTTACTTTTATCTCTAGCTTGCTGGGAGAAAGAAAAGGGAGAGGTCCCCATCGATAGGCCCCTCCTACCTACCTAAAGGCCCTACCTATGCGCGGCGTGAGAGCTCGGAAGCGAGCTTTGCACGGCGATCGAGGATGGCACGGTTCTCTCTCTGTCCGTTGCTTGCCTTCGAGCCCGTCGTCGGTCGACGACCGGCCAGCCGCCACGCCACAGCCTCTAGTTAGAGTTGTTTGGTATTGCTAAAAATCTCTCTCTCTCAGAACCACAGCATCAGAAAAAGCGCACGCCCCGAAGACGCTCGCCCCGACGACGATCCCCTGGATGGAGACACGCTCGACCAATATTGCAATACACAAATAAAAAATGGAGCCCTCACAGAAGACACGATGGGAGAGGGGCGCCCCACCCTGCACAGAAGCTCTGATTTTCACACAGAATGCGCCTCGCGCCGCGCCTGGGCCTGCCGTTGCGCTCGCTGCGCCTGCGCGATCATCGAGCTTGGCACGATCCTCTCGAGGCCCGCCGCCTCGCGCGCCGCCAGATACCTTGGCAGCAGCGCAAACGGGGGGATTATCGCGCCGAGGGACTCGGCGCACCCGCGGTCGAGTTGCAGCGTGCGCCAGTCGTACAAATGCAGCCACGTCACGGCGGCGAGCTTCTGCCCGCGCCTCACGGGCACGGACGCGTGGTGAGAGAGGAGCTCGGGCAAATCAAAATCCTGCGCCGAAAGGGACGGCCACACAACCACAACAACAACGTGTGAGTAGCTCCAACACGCTCATACGGTACGCACGTACGTGCATCCATCCAGACCGAACGAATGAAGCATTCTAGCATTAATGACCTCGGAGCCGACGCCTTCCCTGATGGGCTTTCGAAGAGGCCGACAAACTGCTCCGGCCTCTCCCCCCCTTTCCCAATCCTCCCCTGGCTCAGGCTCCTCCATCCTCGCGGCGCGCAGACCGCAGTGCGCACCCCGCCCCGCGAGGACGAACCCTTTCCGCTTTCGCCGGGGCGTGCCTCGCCGGCGGGGCTCGCGGGACCCTGCCGCCCGCCGCCGCCGCCCTTCCCCCCCTCCGCCGCCAAGAGGTAGAGCCGCCCGTACCACAAAAAAACTCTCTCACCTCTCTATGTCCACGGGGCACCCCTCACAGCTCACGCGGACGCTGGAGCGGCCGCGTCAGCATCCTCGGCGTCGCCGCTGGAGAGGAGGACGTCGATCGCCGCGGCGCCCGACTTGCTTGCGAGCTCGAGGCGCGGGAGCGCCACTTCCACCGGCAGGGTGCCTCCGTCGACCAGCCCGGCCGGCGTGCGCGCTTGGAAGGAGAGCGTGCCGCCCTCGACCTCCTTGGCGCCGACAACGGCGTATAGCGGCACCTTCTCCTTATTTGCGATCTTGATCTGCTTGGAGAGAGAGCGGCCGCCGACGTCCACCTCGGTGCGTGTGGGGGGGAGGCGTGATCTCAAGACTACTGTAGAGGGAATGTGGCCGAGGGATGGCCCAAGGGGACGTCGCACCTCGGCGCGCAAGCCCAGCCTGCGCGCGCGCGCGATGACGCCGTCGCAGTACGGCTTAAAGTCGTCGCTCACCTGTTCACAGTGCGGTCGGGCCGTGAAGCGTTGTCGCGAGGAGACGCCGGCCGTACCACGTAGCCAACAACCGGCAGCAGTCGCAGCTGGACAGGCGCGAGCCAGAAGGGGAAGTCTCCCGCCGTCGACTCGAGGAGCACGCCGAAGAAGCGCTCGAGCGAGCCGAAGATGGCGCGGTGGACCTGCGAGGAGGGGAGGAGAGGGGTGGGGAGGAGAAGGGTGGGGAGGGGGAGGGGTGGGGAGGTGAGGAGAGGTGGGTGAGGAGAGAGGCGAGTGTGGGGAGGGGCGGGGTGGTGCACCATGATCGGCCGCTCCTTTGTGCCATCGGCCGACGCGTACTCCATGTCGAACCGCTCGGGCAGGTTGAAGTCGCACTGGATCGTCGAGCACTGCCAGAGCCGCCCGATCGCGTCGCGGATCTTGATGTCGATCTTCGGGCCGTAGAAGGCACCGCCACCCTCGTCGACGCCGTAGCTCCACCCCTTCTGCTGCAGCGCCCCCTCGAGCGCACCGGTCGCCCTCTCCCAGATCTCGTCCGACCCCACCGCCTTCTCCGGCCGCGTCGAGAGCATCACCTCGTACTCGGCAAAGCCGAACTTTGTGAGGATGGTCTCGGTCAGGTCGAGCACGCCGAGGATCTCCGCCTGCTCACACTCTACGCTCATCATCCACAGCCTACCTTCCTTCTGCTCGAGCACGCCGAGGATTTCTGCCGTGAGCTGCTCGGGCAGGCAAAAGATGTGCGCGTCGTCCTGCGTGAAGCCGCGCACGCGGAAGAGACCATTCAGCGTGCCCGACCTCTCGTAGCGGTAGACGGTGCCCAGCTCGCCCCAGCGCAGCGGCAAGTCGCGGTACGACTTTGGCTCGTCCTTGTAGATGAGCACCTGATTCAGTATAGGCATTGGTCAACCCACTGAGTCGCGGTACGGTCTTGGCTCGTCTTTGTCTACGAGATGAGCACGTGGAAGGGGCAGTTCATCGGCTTGAGCTGGTACTGCGCTCCCTCGACCTGCTCGCAGTTGGGAGAGGGTGTGAAGTGACTGCTCTCGACCTCCAGCGCCTTACCTTGCCACCGCATATCTCGGCTCATCTCGCTCATCTCGGCTCATCTCGGCTCATCTCGGCTCATCTCGGCTCATCTCGACCTCCATCGCGTTGAACATGCCGTCCGCATAAAAGTCGAAATGGCCCGAGGTCTTCCACAGGTCGAGCGATGCCTGATCACGGCGCCAGCTGTGAAGAGGCGACGGCTGGCTTCGGCGTGCCTTCCGTAGGTCGATCGGCGCCATGTGCGGTGTGTAGAGCAGCTCGTACCTGAGCATGGGCGGCAGCAGGTGTGAACAGCACGTGTGAAGAGACGCCGGCTCACAGCACCGCGATGAGAGTGTGAGTGTAGAGCAGCTCGCACCCGCCCTCGTAGTGGCAGTCCTTCCAGTAGTCCTCCATGATCCGCCGCACCCTGCTCCCCTTGGGGTGCCAGTGCACGAGCCCTCCTCCGGCGTCCTGCTGGATCGAGAAGAGATCGAGCGCCTTGCCGATCTTGCGGTGGTCGCGCCGCGCCGCCTCCACCCTCAGCCTGCGGTGCTCCTCCAGCTGCTCGACTGTCTCCCACGCGGTGCCGTAGATACGCGTCAGCATCGGACGCGCCTCGTCCCCGCGCCAGTAGGCGCCCGCAATCGACTCGAGCTCTATCGCCTCTGCTGGCAGGTCTGCCGTCGAGCCGACATGCGGGCCAGCGCACAGGTCCCACCAGCCGCGCTTGTCGCCCGGCTCGCCGGTGTGCCAGATGGTGATTGGAGCGGCCGGGTCGCGCGCCTAACAGGCGGACCCTTCCTTGAAACTACCCGGAACCTTCGAATGAGCCTTCTGCAGCGATGGCCGGGTGCCACGATCGTCTCGAGGATCTCGAGCTTGTACGGCTCGTCCTGCGCCTCGATCCTGCGCCTCGCCTCCTCGTAGCTCACGACCTCCTCTACGAACGGGAGGCCGTACGAGATGATCTTGCCCATCTCCTTCTTGATCTTTCGCAGGTCCGTGTCCTTGAAGGGCCGCCCCTCCGGTGGGTCAAAATCGTAGTAGAATCCCTTCTCGATCCACGGCCCGATGGTGCATTTGGTTCCTTTGAAGAGCTTCTGGACCGCCTGGGCCATCACGTGCGAGGAGGAGTGCCGGATTCGAAGCAGCGCCTCGGACTCCTCGTTCGTCGGTAGCGCGATCGCCTCCGCCCACTTCATGCTGCTCTCCCCGTCCGCCATGACAGCGATCGCCCGTCGCGGAGCGGGCGCGGCGAGGCGGCGGTGGCGAACGCCGGTGCGGCTGCGCGCAGCAGCCGATAGCAGCGAGGTGGACGAGAGGAGCAGCAGCATTTTGTTGCCGGGCAGCGGCCACAGCAGGTGAGAAGATGGTGCCAGCTTTGGATCTTGCCTGGGCAGCGGCCGTGCAGGTGAGAAGATGGTGCCCGCATGAAGGAAAAGAATTTTTATCGGGCCTCGCCCGCCAAGGCATCGTAGTACTTGTCTGTGTGCTAAACCACTACAGCATGGATGGTGCCCGAGCATGATGTATGTGCGCGTCTGTGCGTGTGTGGCACAGACGTTAAGAAAGAAAAGAAAGAAAGGAGACAGACACGCCAAACGAGGGATGGGACGAGGACAAGGTCCCCACCTGCACGAGCAGGATTTTGGAAGGACGATCAGGGGGACAGGTGGGGCTCTCCTGCTCCTGACAAGGGACACGACAGGCTCGCAGCGCGGTGCACGGTGGGCTCCCAACTCCACTGGCGGTCTCATCTCAGTCTAGCGACCTGCCTCCAGCTTGTCGCTGGCAGTCTCTCGCACATGCACACTGACACAGGGGTGGCAGGGGCGGCGGCACGAGTCTCCCACATACTATGCGGGCCTCACTAGAGGTGCGGCCTGTGCGTGTCCTCGCCCTTGAGGGGGGAGGGGAAGGGGCTGTGTGTCTGTGCATGTGTGTGTGTGTGTGTGTGTGTGTGTGTGTGTGTGTGTGTGTGTGTGTGTGTGTGTGTGTGTGTGTGTGTGTGTGTGTGTGCGTGTGCGTGTGCGTGTGCGAGCCGCCCTGAACGCCACGAGCGCGCCGCGAGCGCCGTAGCGCCGGCGAGCGCCGTCGGCAGCGCGCGACCGCCACCCGGCACAGACGTTGTCGTATGCGCGGGGGCTGTGCTTTCTGCCCCCCACAGAGATGGAGCCGACTGCACACCTCAGTTACAGTAATCCAAAACAACCTGACGTGGCGGCGGCAAACATCGGCAGGGGGCACAGGCGCCTTGTTGCCGATCTGAAGCTTACGAGTTCGCTCGCGAGCAACAGCAAGGGCAAGGATGGAGAGGGTGAAATTCGGCTCGGTTGGAAGGGGGCCTATGTGCGCTTTGGCAACACGGAGACCGGGCTGCTCAAGTTGGTCAAAGGGCGCGGCAAGTGGTCTCCGTCGGAAGCGACGGCAGCGGCGGTGGCGGGGGAGGAGGAGGAGGCCGAGGAGGAGGGGGAGGAGGGGGAGGAGGAGGATGCCCCCAAGGGAAAGCTCAAGGAGCAGCCTGGCGATTACCCCTTTGCGCGGCAGCAGGATTGCGATCTACGTTTGTTTGATTTTGAGGCTTTCGGAGGCTTTGGAAAGGAGGTTCGCAGCACCCTGAGGGAGGCGGCGAACCAGCTGAGCAACAAACTTTCGCACGCTCAGCACCTGGACGAGGTCACATGGACCACCAAGAACTGGCACGGGCTGCAGATGCAGCGCTTGTCTGTCGTCCTCCACACCGCCGTGGCGTGGCAGACGGTGAACGAGCTAGCGTGCGGGGAGAGCGGCATTGTGCATGGTGCGGAGTGCATTGCCGTTCTTAACGGAGTCGCTTAGGCGGCTCCGGTGGTGAGCCTGTGTGTGTGCCAGTCCGCGCCAGTCTGCGCCCTTGTCGTGCCAGTGTGCTGTGAGAGAGGCTTGTATCTTAAGAATTCTTCCCCCCACAGACGTTGTTGTCGTAGCGGCACCCACATCGCACCACAAAATGTTCTTCGGCCCTTTGATTCTCTCACTGAGCTGCAGCGGCACTGCAGTGCTGGCGGGCTCGCCCCGAGTCCGCGCCGCGCCTGTGGTCTGCTCAGCCGGCTGGTCTTCGACGACACCGCTCGCGAGCTCCCTCGACGTGGCGCTCAGTGCCGCCGTCGAGCGAGAGGATTACAAGCTGGCGGCGGCGGTCAAAGCGGAGAGGGATCGCCTCTACAGCGAGCTGCGAGGATCACCGGACCTGATCCCTGCCCTCCTCCTGCCGGACGCGCTGGCTGACGCCATTGGCCGCGAGGACTACTTCCATGCGGCTGCAATAAAGACAGCGATGGTGGAGGTGGAGGAGATGGGGAGAGCGCGCCGGGCGAAGCAGGAGGCGCTCAACAACCAGTTCAGGCGGTGGGGAGGTAGGTAGACGAGAACGAGACGAGCCTGCCGTACATGCTGTTTAATTAATTTCGCGATCGACATACAAAAACGTCTCCAACTCCGTGGGCCGAGCGTTTTTGATCTCTGGGTCTGTGGGGGGCCGAGCCGCCTCGGGGTGGCGGGCGGGCGGGCGTTTTGAAAAACAGAAAACAGAAAACAAGAGGGGGCCCGGGGGCCCGGGACCCCACTGGGAGTAGAAAATACGCCCAAGGGGGCCCAAGGAGGCGGCGCGGGGAAGCAGCATCAGGTGAGAGCAGGAAGGATGGCGCTAGGGTCGGCTTTGAACAAGGGTTTCCAGGTTTTAGATCAGTATTGGTGTCGGCACACATCCCCACATGAGGTCAGCGGCGCGCAGTGCCTCTCTCGCAGGCTGATTTTGGCTGTTTTCGAGCTTGTTTTTGTCCTTTGTCGGTTTTCAGTCTAGGGGGCCCGACCCCCTCAGAGGCGGCGGGCGGGCGCCCACAGACCCAGAGATAAAAAACGCTCGGCCGTGATTGTGATTCCGCAGAGAGCACACAGCACACACATACCACAGAGAGAGCCGCCGTCCAGGTCCTAGGCACCAAACACGCGATCGCTAGAATGGCGGGCCCGGCGATCGCAGCCGCTGGATTGAGTCGCGCAGGCCAAACTCGGCGACCCGTATCCGCTCGTCTGCGGTCGCGGCCATTAGCGCGGCTGGGCGCACCTCCAGAGCGACGCCAAGCGCAGGCAGAGGGTTTATCAGCCCCGCCACCCACAGCGCGCGCGCGTTCGGCCTCGACTCGCCCGGCAGCGGCCCGAGGTCGTCCAGCACGGCGTCGAGCTGCCCCGGCGACCGCTCCCGACTCGTGGAGCGGAGGAGGGAGATCCACTCCTCCACGAGCGGGCCGAGCGACGCGAGGAGCTCCGCCGTGGCCGCCTCCGTCACCGGCCCTAGCGACTCTGTCGCGCCCTCGACCGCCTCTGCGCCATCGATCGCCACCCAGCGCACGCGCGCCTGCCGCCCGAGCCAGCGCGATCCCTCCTCCGCGCCGGATTCGAATGCACGGCAGAGGCGGCCAGCACGCAGCGCCACCTCGGCCCCACCACGAGCGTCCGCGTCGCCGATCGACTCGACCTCAACCTCCACGCCGTGCGAGTTGATGCGTAGCCCTTGCCGCCCAAACATGCAGAGCACGCCTTCTGCATTTGTCGCGGCGCGGCACACGTCGACAAAGGCCGCCGGCGCCGGAAGCACGAGACGCTGGCCTGGCACCATCGGGTCGAGGTCGAAGAGGCGAGCGCCGGCCTCGCCCCGCGAGACGGCGTCCACGCGCCGCCGGAGGAGGGCCATGTCGAGGTCTTCGCTCAGCTGGGGAGCGGGCGCACGTTGCGGCGCACGTACGGGCGGCGGAGAGGCCACAAAGAGGGACTGGGAGGCGAACGTGGCTAACCACATTGCTTGCTGGATTTCGAGCTCCCTAGCCGGGGCCCAAGTGCAAGTGCAAGATGGCGACCCCTTCTGCACTTCAGCTTGAGCACTTGAGCACTGGATAGGGTCGGTTCCGCATGGTACGGGACCCCTCGATCGTCTCGCCCACCCTCACCGGTGTGTTCATCGGGGGGGGTCATAACAAACACGGCACTTCAGCTTGGTATATCCCAGATCATACCCCAGGGCTATACCCTGATACCCTCTTGAGAGGACCCGCATTGGGCCCCTAGAGGATAGGCTGATACCCTGGTGGGTTACCCTTCACACCGGACACGACCCCCCTCTTCCCCCCTCTTCGCGCGCTGCGCGCGCGCCAAGACAGACAACGCGCTCGAGACAACAGCTGGCTTTGCCGAAACGGGTGCATTGCGCGCGCAACAGCTGGTGGGCGTGGCGCGCGGGTACGGCGGAAGCGCAAAGAGTTTGAATGATACCGGGGCGGACCATGCTCCATGCGGGAGGGCTCGGTCCTCGGTGCGAGCTGTGAATTGTCGCTTCGCTGCGCGGCCGCCGATCCGATACCTTGATACCCAGCCGAGATAAGTCCCCACAGAGGCCTAGAGCCTAGAGCATACCTTGATACCCCCTCGAGAAGGATACAATGATACTATACCAAGCTGTTGAGTCCAGGCGAGTTGCGCTGGCCACGATCGCTACGCCGAGCCGAGCTGACGCGCCGAGGCGCCGGCCAGTCGCAGCCGTGAGGCATGCCACAGCAGCAGAGGCACCTCCCACCCATTGGGCGGGCAGACAGAAGGCCAGGGCAGCACTGGCAAGTGCAACGCGCCTCATGTCGGAGAGCGACCGTGCCTCGTTCGCGCTTATGATGTAGAGTTTGTTGTAGAGATTTCGCGTTGTAGAGCGCCTCTACATCGCTCTACAACGCACCCGCCTCGTCCCGCGGCGGATGTAGAGCTCTACAGCTCTACAGCGCTCTACATCTCTACAGCTCTACAGCGCTCTACACTCTACATCCTCTACACCCTCCCTCAGGCTGCGAGGTGTCTTTTGGCATGTGAGCGCTTGCCAGAGACGCCAGGATGCTCGGCTTCCACGCCTGCGGCCGCGGGCGAGCGGGCGGGCACGCCAGGCTCGGCGACGCTCTGCGCGGGTCTTCGAGCTCGCAGCCCGCGACGAGCCAGCATGGCTCGTCGCTCGACGGCAGCCTGCTCAGAATGCTCACTCCAAGACAAAGTACTTTTTTAAGGTGCTCTACAAGCTAGGCACAAAAGATATGGCATTGCAGGCCATTTAGGGCCCCTAGACGGTCACTGAGTAGGCCAAAATCCCCACTGGGCCGGGAATTACCTTAAATTCTTTTAGTTGTGCCGACAAATGCCCGTGGCTTTTGGGCGCACCTCTGGTGGTGTTGCGCGCTCTGCGCGGCGCCACCGACGGCGCGTCGGAGTGGCGGCCGCCACTCGCGTGGTGCCAAGAGGTTCTCCGGAACCCTTACACGCACCACGGCGGCCGCCTTCAACTCCCCGAGCGGGGCCCTAGGACCAAGGGCACGCTCGGCAAATTCCTGCGCTTTGCGCAGGGTCACAACCCCTGGGCCAGTTGTTGGTGGAACCACCTCAAGGCCAGCGCGCATGCGCGGGCGATGGACTGACTCCAGCAGCTCAAGGGCTCGCGCTCTCCTCACCGCCGCGCGCGCGTTGCAGCAGGAGTGCCGCAAACCGCAATGCGGCATTGTGCGACTACCGCATCGTGCCGCAGCTGCACCGCTTCTCCTCGGACATCATCGTGAACTCGGTGGTCCGCTGCGAGGACGCGGTCAGCACCGCGCCGGATCTCTTCTGAGAGCCGGCGCGGATCGCGGATGCGGCTTGAAGGCTCTGCCGGCGGATCTGTGGCCTGGCGCCTGCCAGACTGCGGGTCCAAATACCCCGGCGCTCGCGCGCGCCACCGCCCCCGGCGCGGGGTGGGATATCAGTTCGTGAGTTCTGTGTCCCCGTCCCTGTGCTCCACCTTCTTCTCCCGTGTCGGTCCCTGAGAACCCCACTATACAGCGCCACCTCGTGAGCTGTCCTGTGAGCTGTGTGTTGTGCGTCCAGCAGTCCGGACCCAGTGCTACGGCCGGTGACAGCGTGCCTCGTGTCGGCTCCCGAGCCAATCGTGTGCAGCGTGTGTGTGCGTGTGGGCCCGTCCTCCATGCTTGGAGGTGTGTAAGAATGACTGACTGTGCCGACAAACTCGACCCAACTCCAGCCTCCGCTGCGCGTGCTTGCGAGTCTGCTCGGCCTCGCCAACGCCGCTGCCTCGACTTCGCCTTGCCAGACCTCCTCGCCGACGGATGCGGAGCAGCGGCCGTCCATACAAGCATCTCCTGCATGTGTGTATGCTGCTCGCCCTCGCGCCGCTGTCCTCTAGCGACGGCAGCCACGCACCCGCGAGGCATCTCGAGTTTGGCGGTCTCCAGGTCCTGCAGCAGCGGCACGCGCGACAGCTCGAGGCGGAGGGCGCCGACGGATGTGTCGACGCCAGCGAGCTCTGCGCTGGGTGGGCGGCTGCTGGCGAGTGCGAAGCGAATCCGGACTTCATGCGGCACGACTGCGCCGCCTCCTGTCACGCGTGCGGCGCCTCGGCGCACGCGCCGGCCACGCCCGTGCGGCAGGGCTGCAGCGACGACCCGGCGGAGGGCTGCCGGTCGCGAGAGGCGGCGGGCGAGTGCGTGAGCAACAAGACCGCGATGCTAATCGCCTGCCCGACGGCGTGCGGCCTCTGTCGGATGGGCTCATCCCTCTGGACCTCGATGCAGGCCGCCTTTGACTGCGGCGACAAGGACCCGCTCTGCAGCAGGTGGGCCGAGGCGGGCGAGTGCACAAAAAACCCGCAGTTCATGAGCGACTCGTGTGCAACCTCGTGCCGCACGTGCGCCCAGAAGCGGACCGCCTGCGACGTCCCCCCCGACACGCCGCCCCTCGTCGGCCCCGGCGGCATCTCTCAGACCATGGAGCGCATCCTCGCCGAGTTTCCGCAGTACAAGCCGCGCGCACTGTCACGGCCGGGCGCCGGTCCCAAGGGAGCCGACTCCCCGTGGGTCATCGCGCTCGAGGGCTTCGTGAGCGCCAGCGAGGCGGGCGGCTGAAAGAAACGAGCCCATAGCAACGGACACCACACGAATGGAGAGGTGGGTGAAAGGTACCCCGCCCATGGGTCGTTGCTGCAGGCAGAAGCCTTCATCAGCGGCTGCGCGGCGCACTTTGACCGCTCGCTCGCGGGCGACCAGCTCTCGCCCGTGCGCACGCCTGCGCTTGCGAGCGAGCTGCAGTCTCGGGCCATCTCGGTGACGTCGGCTCCTCTCGGCTCTAGGTGCGAACCTCCACCCAGTGCTGGTGCTCGAACAACGAGTGCTCCGCCGACCCGCGCACCGCCGCGGTCGAGCGACGCATCTCCAACCTGACGCGCGCCCCGGTGGGGAGATGCGCCGAGATGGCACCCGAGACGCGTCTTGATTCGCCGAGATGCGCCCGAGATGCGCCGAGATTTGCCGAGACGCGCATCTCCCAGCCTGGCCTGCGCGCGGGGGTCGCGGGGCCGCCCCAAGCTGATCAAGCTAGCCTACCCTCACCGCCCCCCCGAACCGAAGGTGCGGTACATGGAGCCGTTCCAGATCCTGAAGTACGAGCCGGGCCAATTCTACAAGGTGTGGAGATCTGTAGCAGCCCCAAAGCGAACTGACGCTCACGCGTCGCCTTTGTTTGCTGTTTCAAGGTGCATCACGACCAAAACTCGGGACTCTTCACGCCGCAAGGCCCGCGCGTCTACACCTTCTTCATGTACCTGTCAACGCCGGCCGAGGGCGGCGGCACGCGCTTTGCCGACCTCGACGTCGTCATGCCCGCCGTCAAGGGCAATGCGGTCATCTGGCCGTCCATCATGGACGCGAGCCCGAGCAGGGACGAGCCCTACACCAACCACGAGGCGCAGCCGACGACGGTGGGCCGAAAGTACGCGAGCAACGTGTGGGTGCACCAGTTCGACTACCGAACGCCCGCCGACAAGGGGTGCCTGCTGACGCACAAGAATACTCATTGAAGCTTAAATAGCTTTTTGGGAGGCCTAGTTAGGCTTAGGGCATGCTACGTTTTTGTATTCGAGCCAGCAATGATGCAGACGCTGGCCAGACGGACTCGTGAGGGGCTAGGACGGGGGAACGAGCGATGATAGTAGGGAGTAGAAGAAAGCAAAGAGGAGCCCTGCGCACGCACGACTCCGCAGGAGAAGCCCCCCCCCCCCAGACAAAACACAAGGGAGAGGTGGGTGGGTCACCAAAGGTGGCGCCGCAGTCGGCAGCGCTGCAGGCGGCGCAGCAGCGGCGTCTCGCGCGCGCGCGCGCGCGCGCGGCGAGGGAGGAGGGGGGGCCTGCGGCGCAGTCGTTCACGGTGCTTGTGTGAGGGTGAGGGGCGCGTGCTCTCTACTGCCGGGGTCTGTGTGAGGGTGTCTGGCCGCGGGCCGACTCATCTCTCTTGTGTCACGCATGCACGCTTCTCTATAGCGTTGATGGCGCACACGAACGACCCAAATAATAAGGGCGAAGAGGCACCCATGGCTCTTTGTTCTTTTCCTTTTGTCCTGTGACGCCGGCCGCGAGCGAATTCTTTCATGGGCGCAGGGCACCGGCGCCGAAACCAGGACGGACAAGCCCGGCGAAGCCGACGCCGCGGGAGCCGCCAGCGAAGCCGCCGAATGCGGCGGGAGCCGCCGAGAAGCGACTGTCCAACAGCGTGAGATCATCGCGGCTCGCAGCTTGAGCACATTTGTCTAGCTCCTCTTTGCGTCGCCCACCCTCGTCGCGCCTCAAGCGGGCAGCTCGGTCGGCACCATGCCGGTGGCCATGCTGCCCGCCGTTCTGATCTCAGTCTCCCTCTTCCCCTGCGTCCACGACGACAGCAAGTGCTCGAGCAACGGCAACGACTGCAACGCCGACGGCCAGTCTGAACCGCAGACCTGCTACGACGGCTACATCGTCAGCCCACACCCCGACGACCCTCGAAACGACCGCCACTACACCTGCTACCCGCCTCACTGCCGCTGCGACGCGTCCAAGTGCTCGAGCGACGGCGACGACTGCAGGGCGCCAGTCTGGGCGCAGACCTGCCGCGACGGCTACTTGCCGATCGCGTTCAGCGACTCGCAGTACACGTGCTGCTTCGATGACCAGCCGCCGTCCTTGCCGCCGCTACCCCCGTTCCCTCCGGGCCAGGCCCCCGCTCCGCCACCATCGCCACTGCCGCCATTCCCGCCCGGCCTGGCCCCCGATCCGCCGCCGTCGCCGCCGCCTCGCTGCGTCCACGACGACAGCAAGTGCACGAGCAACTACTGTCTCATATACTGGGGCGAGACCTGCCGGGACGGCTACATCGCCAGTAGCCCGAATCCCGAAGAGACGTGGAACACCGGCCGCTACACGTGCTACCCGCCTCACTGCCGCTGCGACGCGTCCAAGTGCTCGAACGACGGCGAATGCCACGCGCCA